GCGGAGCTTGCAGTGAGCCGAGATCGCCCCACTGCACTCTAGCCAGGGGGACAGAGCGAGACTCTGTCTCAAAAAAAAAAAAAAAGAAAAGCAAACCTTTATTGCAAATCCACAAACAAGAAGACAGGAGTCCAGGTCAAATGCATCTCCCCAGTATAGGGTTTGGGGCAGCTTTTAAGGATTAGGAAGGACAGGTTGGTAAGCACTGGAAGGGTGGATTTTGATTGGAAGGACTTCAAACAAATCTATTGATGGCAAGGCGGGGACAGGGGTGTTATCACCCAAGATTTGGAGACAACAGACCCCTTGCTTTCAGAAGTGTTTCAACACTTGGGTTCCGGCCATAGCCTGGGATTTTGGTTTCCTGGTGGTGGCAGGGTGGAGTCTGGTAGGTGAGACTTCAGTTCCAGGTGTTGGGTCAATGTTTTCTTTTCTTTTCATTTTATTTATTTATTTATTTATTTATTTATTTATTTATTTATCGAGACAGGGTCTGGCTCCGTTGCTCAGGCTGGACTGCAGTGGCATAATCATAACTCACTGTAACCACGATCTCCCGGGCTCAAGTGATCCTCCCACCTCAGCATTCTGAGTAGCTAGGATTACAGGTGCACCACCACACCCGGGTAATTTTTTATTTTTTGTAGAGACGGGGTCTGGCTATGTTGCCCAAGTGATCCTTCCACCTCAGCATCCCAGTGTGCTTGGATTACAGGCATGAGACACCGCGCTGGGCCTGACATTTTTCTTTTCTGCACATTCTCTAGCTGTGTAACTTGCAACTCTCTTCAGCTCTGTGCCTGCAAAATAACTAGACATTCTGTTACCAACAGAGGATGGCCAGATGAGACTGGTCCAGCCGTTATACCTGCACCTTCGTGGAGGCCATTAAGAGTATCCCTATAGGCCGAGTCAGCTGCTGTAAGGCAGAGCATGGATTTCCCCCCGGGGACTAAATCCCATTCTTGAGCTCCAGAGGCTTTGTTCCTACCACTGTACGCCACCGCGTGGGGTGCCCTGGGAACCCGCCTACCTCCCTACTGCCCTGAGGGCGGACAGAGATGGTCCTAGCAGGTGTGGGAGATGAGGTAGACGATGTCTTCAGTGGGGTCCAAGGCTCATCTGGACCCAGTTCTCAGCCAAGGGGCGGTGAAGGGGGCGTCAGAAAACGCAGGAGCGGCTCCCAGACCCTGGAGGGGACTCAGGGAAGCAGAGGCACTTTCCTCGGCCGCTCCGGGGCCTCCCCAGCTTGCCCTCCCCAAGAGAAGAAGTCCCCGGGGAAGAGCTGCCCAGGACCCCTTCCTATGGGACGTCTCAGCCCCGCCTCCCTCATCTAGGGACAGTCAAGGGGCTCAGAGCAGGAGTAGCGCGTGCGCGGCCCCCACGTGGCCTCCCGGAACACCTGCCCACAGTGCCACACCTAGATCGCTCCTGTCTTTCACAGAACATCCTCGGCCCTGGCACGGCCTCCAACGCCTTGACCCCGCAGGGGAGGGGGACGAAGCTCCTTCGCTCCCGCAGGAGCGTCAAACACCTGTGGATCCGGCCTCAGCTTCCCGAGCCTGAATCAATGCCTCTAACCACGTGGGCGCTCAGCCGCGACGGGACCACAGAAATGGACCAGCGGCCCGTTTAAGGAGCGACAAGGCCCAGCCCTCTCCTGGACTGTGGCGACGCCATCTCCCTGCGCCCCCAGCGCGGCCGCTTGGCTTTTGTTTGAGGTGACTCTGGGCCGCAGCATCCTTCCCTGCGCCCTGGGTACCGGCGGGACTACATTACCCAGAAGGTTTTGGCTCCAGCCGCAGAGATGCTGAGCCAATCCGCGCTGAGAAAAGGGTCGTTTCCGCTTTGGGACCAATAGGTCGGGGAGGTACTTCCTGTATCACTTCAGTGGCGGTCATTTTTGCAGCGCTTGGGTGCATCCAGACCGTCAGAGCTTTGGGAGCGCTTTGTTTGGCGAGAGAGTCGGAAGGCGCGAGGGGAGGGGTCCTCCCGCTGAACAGTCGGGGGTCTAAGGGTCGGCGGCGGCGGGGTTGACGGCTTTGCCCAGGTCCCTGCGCCCGTCGTTGTCAGGTCCCGGTCCCGCTCTGCCCAGACTCCGATGGCTGCGGCTGCGCTGAGGGCCCCGACTCAGGTGAGCGCTGCGTCCACTGGACCTCACCCTTCTTCATCCTCACTCAAATTCTAAAGCCCAGTAAGGGGTGCCTTCTTGGGTCGCTAGGGTCGAGATCCTCATGTCCAGTACAGTGGGGGCTCGTGGGTGGAGTCCCTATTTCCAGAACTTGGGTGATGAGGCATGGAAGAAGGTGACAGGCAAAGGGACCGGCGTTTCTAAACTGTTGGAGATGGAGTGAAGAAGGTTCATACCTGGAGTGCCAAAGTGAGGAGTTTTCCCTCAATTCTTAGGATGCTAGGAGCTGTGGAGGGTTGTGTACAGAAGCGGCGTATGGTCTGAGTTAGGTCTTTCAAAGTTTTCCAAAAACCTCATGGAGTTAGACTAGAACAGAATGGAATAACACAGAATCACAGGGAGATTGGGTTCTTGTGCAAGGTCCCACAGTTGCTAAGAGGTAGCACTGAGGACTGGAAAGCTGAGGCTCAGAAATAATGCAGACATCATCAGTCCATCTGGCTCTGTCCTGGTCAGGAATCCAGGGAAGCCTGAATTAGTAGAGCCCTGTATGGTCACCTGCCTTTCATGATCTTTGGCTTTCCACAGGTGACTGTGTCTCCAGAAACACATATGGACCTCACAAAGGTGAGTGGAGGGTGTCCCAGGCCCTCACTGGTCCTGGCCCCATCCTGGAGTTTCTTCATGTATCTTTTTTGCCACCATCCAGTTCTTTGACCTAAAGACTCTTCACAAACCCCAAGCTTGACATCCTGATTCTAGACTGGTGGTTATTTGTAGAAGTTCTTATTGCTGGCAGACAATGGAATGAGGTGTGAAAGGTTGTCCTGCCTAGGTACAATAATATGTAAAGTTGGCAGTGAAGCTGAGCTGGTTCAGGGGAACCCAACTCTCCTTTCTTTCTCATGGGAACTCAGAGCAGCAGGGCAGGACTCAGGTCTGGAATGGCTCTGAGAAATTGGGTGTTTTTATCTGGAGGTGATGGGAACAATGGGAGGTTTAGAGAAGAGGAGGGAGGTTATCTGACACTGGTCTCATCAGGTTCACTGTTAATGCAGCATAGAGAATACTCTGTGGGTGTGATGGAGGCAACCAGGGAGGAGGCTACTGCAGTGGCCAAGGTGAGTTTTGATAGTGGCTTCACCAATGTGGTGGCTGTGAAGGTAGAAGAAGTGGCTGGATTCTGGGTCGGATTTTTAATTAGGCCTGCTTGCATTTTCAGATTTTGAGGGTAAGAGATAGTAGTCAAGCATTACTCCAGGCGTTTTGAGTTTAGCATCTGGGAGGATGGAAGCTCCATCAAATAGCATGTAATAGGATTGATTTTATTTTTATTTTATTTTATTTTTAGACAGAGTCTCACTTTGTCACTCAGATCGAGCAGTGGCTCGATCTCAGCTCATTGCAACCTCCACCTCCCAGGTTCAAGCAATCCTCCTGCCTCAGCCTCCTGAGTGGTTGGGACTACAGACACATAGTACCATGACCTTTTTTTTCTTTTTTTTTTTTTAGTAGAGACAGGGTTTCACCATGTTGACCAGGCTGGTCTCGAACTCCTGACCTCAGGTGATCCACTCGTCTTGGCCTCCCAAAGTGCTGGGATTACAGGCGTGAGCCACCATGCCCAGCCAATTAATTTTCATTAAGGATAACAGGAGTTCTGTCTTTAGCTATTATCATAGTCTGAGATGTTCCAAAGAATGATATATGGAGACATCAAGTGAGTAGCTGTCCATGTACATCTGGAATTCTAGAAGCGGTTTAAGACAGAGAAATCCAAAAGGTGGTGGCCAGCGTTTGGCCCAGAGTAGCTGTGGGTCACAATTAGGAGTGGGTAATCCTGGTCATGAAGGTAATGCTATTAATAACCCAGGAAAGGGCTGGGCGTGGTGGCTCACACCTGTAATTTCAGCACTTTGGGAGGCCAAGGCAGGCAAATCACTTGAGGTCAGGAGTTCCAGACCAGCTTGGCCAACATGGTGAAACTCTGTCTCCACTAAAAATAAAAAAATTTGCCAGGCATGGTGGCGGGCACCTGTAATCCCAGCTACTACGGAGGCTGAGGCAGAATTGCTTGAGCCTGGGAGGTGGAGGTTGCAGTGAGCCAAGATCACACCACTGCACTCCAGCCTGGGTGACAGAGTGAGACTCCATCTCAAAAAAAAAAACCAAAAAACAAACAAACAAAAACAGAAAAGGAAAGGTCAGGGCTATGACTGTGTCTCGTGCTTGGACACGTGGTAGAGGTGGTGAACATCACAAACAGTTGTGGAAGAAAAGTGGTCATGGGAAGATTGTAGGAAAGTGGATAATCTGGTATATTAGTCTGTTTTCACGCTGCTGATAAAGACAAGTCTCTAGGAAGTTCCAGACTTTCCCACATTTTCCTATCTTCTTCTCAGCCCTCCAAACTGTTCCAACCTCTGCCTGTTACCCAGTTCCAAAATCACTTCCACATTTTCAGTTATCTTTACAGCAGAGCCCCACTTTACTCATACTGATTTACTATATTAGTCCATTTTCTTTTTTTTTTTTTTTTTTTTGAGACGGAGTCTCGCTCTGTCGCCCAGGCTGGAGTGCAGTGGCCGGATCTCAGCTCACTGCAAGCTCCGCCTCCCAGGTTTACGCCATTCTCCTGCCTCAGCCTCCCGAGTAGCTGGGACTACAGGCGCCCGCCTTGCCCGGCTAGTTTGTATTTTTTAGTAGAGACGGGGTTTCACCGGGTTAGCCAGGATGGTCTCGATCTGCTGACCTCGTGATCCGCCCGTCTCGGCCTCCCAAAGTGCTGGGATTACAGGCTTGAGCCACCGCGCCCGGCCTATTAGTCCATTTTCATGCTGCTGATAAAGATGTGCTCGAGACTAGGTAATTTGTAAGGAAAAAGAGGTTTAATGGACTCATGATTCCACGTGGCTGGGAAGGCCTCGCAATCATGGTGGAGGGCGAAAGGCTCGTCTTGCATGGCAGCAGACGAGAGAATTTGTTCAGGGGAACTCCCCCCTTATAAAACCATCAAATCTTGTGAGACTTATTTACTATCATGAGAGCAGTATGGGAAAGACCTGCCCCCATGATTTGATTACCTCCCACCAGGTCCCTCCCATGATGTGGGAATTGTGGGAGCTACAATTCAAGATGAGATTTGGGTGGGGACACAGCCAAATCATATCATCTGGTAAGTGGTCAAGGCTTCCAAGGCATTGAGGACATAAGACAGACATGGAGACAAAGAAATAATTGGTGGAAGATGATACTGAAGCCAGGTACAGTGGATTGTGTCCCTGCAAAATTCATATCCTTAAACGCTAATTCCAGTGTGATGGTATTTGGAGGTTGGGCCTTTGGGAGATAATTAGGTCATGAGGGTGAAGCCCTAATGAATGGGATCAGTGAGTGCTCTTAAACAAAGAGGCCAGAGAGCTACTACCTAGTGCTCTTTCCACCAAGTGAGGATATACGAAATCAGCAGTCTACAACCTGGAAAGAGCCCACACCAGAACCTGACCATGCTGGCACTCTGATCTCAGGCTTCCCGCCTGCAGATCTCTGAGAAATAAATTTCTGTTGTTGATAAGCCACCCAGTTTGTGGTATTATGCTAGCAGCCCAAACTGATGAAAACACTAGGACTAGTGCTTATTCACCATGGTAAAACCTCACCAGGAATTTGTTGTGACCCTTGATGTGTCTGGGGAAGGTGTCAGTCAAGCAGTTGAATAAGTTTAGTAGTACAAGTGTTCATCTGTATGAGTCATTAGGTTGGAGGTAGAGAGCCACTGAGAGTCTGTGCCACCAAGGGCACTGATTTTGAAAGAAGGTTAAGAGGTGAGAGGAAGGTTGTTGACTGAAGAGGGGACATCAAGTGCAGCACAAGTGGAGGACGGTCATCAGTGTCTGACATCAGTGATTCTTGGTGGCTGAGGTTGAAGCAAGGAACAGAGTCAGGAAGATAGCCCTTCAGAGCAGGATGGGGGCTGTCTATGACAGTAGGAACCATCAGAGGTCTGTGTAGCACTGAATGCTGTCTCAATTTGGTGGGCAGAAGGGTTGAGGTGGCTATGGGAGTGAGACTGAGCGAGAATGGTTCAAAGAATGATGTGCACATGGAGAGGGAGTGTGAACTGAAGGACCCAGGCCCCTGGCATTGAGGACTTAAGGGTGAAAGGTGAACCCACATTTGATTGTGTCTAGGAGGCACTATCTGAAAGATTCTTGGGGAACTGCCTGACAAGAAGGGATACACCCCTACATACTGGGCCCAAAGTTTCGATGTGGTGCATCCTGCCCACCTCCTGGTTGGTACTGTAGAAGGATACAGTGATCACTGGACCGTGAAGAGAGAGTGGACATCTGTGTCACCAGGGTGTGTATTTTCTTAAGGTGGGGATGAATGAGTGGGTGGATGAACTTGATGTGGAGGCGTTGATTGTGGAGTGACCTGTCCCCATCATGACAGGGCTGTGTGACCTTTGAGGACATCGCCATTTACTTCTCACAGGAAGAGTGGGGACTTCTTGATGAGGCTCAGAGACGCCTGTACCTTGAAGTGATGCTGGAGAACTTTGCCCTTGTAGCCTCACTGGGTAAGGCCCTAACACCAACTCCAGTGTCTTGGTCTGTCTGTGCTCTTTTGCTGACTTCCCCATTCTCTTGGGATATGTGCTATGGGAGCCAGCACTGTGCACTGCCTGAGCAGCCCTAACACCTGCTGCCCAGTTGTCTGGGAAGTGGGTGTTCTTCAGTCAGCCGAATGGATCTCTCTTGCTTGCTTTCTTCTTGGCTGGGTGTCTGTGTTCAGATCCATGACACCTTGTGTCCCAAGTTCCCTGCACCCCCATCTGCTAGCTGACATTTTCTTGTGGCTACCTGTGTCATGATTGTAGTCATTGTCATGGTCTATACTTATGGGGACAGTGGGCTCTTCTTACTCACTCCTTCTAGTTTGTTTAATCGTAATAACTTTCTTTCCCATGGGCTGTTTTGTGCTGAGTCGTTCTGCATCAGTGCTGATGACTCACATGTTCTGTCTTTCTGGTAGGACTTAGTTTCATGAAGGTCCCACACAGCTAGACAACTGAGGGTGTGCGGAGAAACCTGGTTGCTTTAAAGGGTGAACATGGTCTCAGAGAAGGCCTGGGCTTGTTGACTGGCAGCTGGTTGGGGGCATGATATCCAGGCTGTTTTCAGGTCACATAAGGAGCCTGTCCTGTCTTCACCACTGTTTGGGTGCACATGCCACTGGCCAAACCTTATTTCTATATTTTCTTCCCTGTACTTGACACTTTTCTGTCTTATTATTTTTATCTATGACTTCTAGCACCTGGCTACCTCCACCTTTCTGATCTTCATGCATCATCTGCTCCTCTGCACTGCTCCCTCTGCAATGTTTTCCAACATTGACACAAACATAATGTCTTGTGAAGTATGTATATATGATTACATGAAGATATGTGATCATATGACTTGCTACTCAGTTTCAATTGTATTTTCCTGGGCTTGGGCACAGTCAACCTTCTGCACAGCATGCAGGTGTCACCAGCAGACAAAGTCCTCCTGAACACTATGTGGTGAGTTTTAGGAATTGGAAGGCTACTCAAGGATAACTTTTGAGGCTGTTGGTAGAGGAATGGTTTGAAGACAATGCCATTGCCTGTCCTCCATCCCATCCTTGTGTCCTTTATTTGGTGAGGCCTCCCTCATTCTGTGATCTTCAGAGATCCAGTATTGCAAAGCAACCCCTTCCTCAACCTGCCCTCAGCTCCATTATCCTCAAAACAAACCTGGTGAATCATTCCTTTGGTATGTGTATAATGGGGCTTCCTGCTCTCAGCATAGTCAATATATATTTCATCAGCAGTTCTCTGCTTTCAGGTTGTGGCCATGGAACAGAGGATGAAGAGACACCTTCTGAGCAGAATGTTTCTGTAAGAGTATCACAGTCAAAGGCAGGTTCATCCACACAGAAGACTCAATCCTGTGAGATGTGTGTCCCAGTCCTGAAAGATATTCTGCATTTGGCTGATCTCCCTGGGCAGAAACCATACTTGGTTGGAGAATGTACAAACCATCACCAGCACCAGAAGCATCACAGTGCAAAGAAATCCTTGAAGAGGGACATGGACAGAGCCTCATATGTGAAGCGCTGCCTATTCCGTATGTCATTGAAGCCCTTTCGCAAATGGGAGGTTGGAAAGGACCTCCCAGCCATGTTGGGGCTTCTGAGGTCCCTGGTCTTTCCTGGAGGCAAGAAACCCAACACAATTACTGAATGTGGGGAGGACGTTTGCAGTCAAAAAAGTCATTACAAGTCACGTGAATGTGGGAAGGCTTCCAGGCACAAACACACTCCTGTTCATCATCCAAGAGTCTACACTGGAAAAAAGCTTTATGAGTGTAGCAAATGTGGGAAAGCCTTCCGGGGCAAGTACTCACTTGTTCAGCACCAGAGAGTCCATACTGGAGAAAGGCCTTGGGAGTGCAGTGAATGTGGAAAATTCTTTAGCCAAACCTCCCACCTGAATGACCATCGGAGAATCCACACCGGAGAAAGGCCTTATGAGTGCAGCGAATGTGGAAAATTATTTAGACAAAACTCCAGCCTTGTTGACCACCAGAAAATACACACTGGAGCAAGGCCTTATGAGTGCAGCCAGTGTGGGAAGTCCTTTAGCCAAAAAGCCACCCTTGTTAAACACCAAAGAGTTCACACTGGAGAAAGGCCTTATAAGTGTGGTGAATGTGGGAATTCCTTTAGTCAAAGTGCCATTCTTAATCAACACCGAAGAATTCACACTGGAGCAAAGCCTTATGAGTGTGGCCAGTGTGGGAAATCCTTTAGTCAAAAAGCTACCCTCATTAAACACCAGAGAGTTCACACTGGAGAAAGGCCTTATAAGTGTAGTGAATGTGGGAAATCCTTTAGTCAAAGCTCCATCCTTATTCAACACCGGAGAATTCATACTGGAGCAAGGCCTTATGAGTGTGGCCAGTGTGGAAAGTCCTTTAGCCAAAAGTCAGGCCTCATTCAACACCAAGTGGTTCACACTGGAGAAAGGCCTTATGAGTGTGACAAATGTGGGAATTCCTTTAGCCAGTGCTCCAGCCTCATACATCACCAAAAATGCCATAACACATAGAGGCCTCATGAATGCAGCAAATGTGGAAGCGCCTTCAACTCAAGATCTATCATCATTTAGCTCCTGAAAGTCCACACTTAAGTAGAGCCTTAGACCTACAGGGAATGTGCTGTCTCTGTAGTACTGTAGCAGTAGAGGGCCTTTGTGAGGGAGCCATCTGCCTAAAGTTGAAACTCATTCTTCCTTGTTTGTCTGGTAGAAACCATCTACCCTCTGCCACCTTGCACAGTAGGCATTGGTCACACTGATGTGCTAAGGCAAGGCAGACATTTGTGTGTTCTCTTAGTCTTTGGAGGAAATCTTGAGCAATCTAAGCCTTTAGAGAAAATTCATTCTTTTTTCTGACAGATCACAGCATACATGTGACCCAGTTTTGGTCAGGAGGGCCCAGCCTTGGTTCTGCTGGACGCTTATGTGCAAGGATTCCCTTTATGTAAATTCTTGGTCTCACATGACACCTGGTCATTCTTCTAGCCTCCAAGTCACCACCTGGTGAATGGCTGCCTCACATTGCTCCAGTTTGTGCACTAATAAAAGCCTTATATTTGAATCTACTTGTAGTCTTGGGGTTTTGTTTACTGTGTGGGGTGGCTGGGAAACAGACTTCAACTCTATATGAAGGAATGGACAGCTTTTGTGGGCCTCTGCAGGAGAAGTAAGATGACGGAGTAATTCTCATTCTGGTTTTGGTCCTACTTGCTTTGCTACCTAAAATCTAGGAAACAGTGCAAGGTTTTGGCTATTCTTTGTGGCCTGGATCCCTATTCTTTCTGTGAGACTAGAGGTCATCCTGAGGAGAGGCCAGCTGTTATGACAAGCACCTGTGCTTCAGGGAATAGGACAATTTTATTCCATTGTTTCCAGAGGATGTCATATGATGCCCAGCGCTGTTGAGATTTTCATGGGGTTCTATAAGGAGACATGCCCTGATATCAAACATTCCATAGGCTGATGTCGCTCAGAAGACAACGGGAGTCACGTATGAACTGTAATTGGTACAGAAATACTGTACTCTGTGTACTGTAGCAAACTAGTTGGAATGTGCCTCTTGTAAAAGTACATTTACAAATCTTTCCGTGACTGTGGCTTCGAGCAGTCATAGGACCTAGAAATCTCTGTATGTCCAATAACTTAGGTTATTGTCAGCAAAAATAAAGGTTTTTTTGTTTGTTTGTTTGTTTTGTTTTTAATTGTTGACTTTCTAGGTTGTTCACCTCAAGTTCATTGCTGTAGAGGTAGAAAAAGGAGGATAAAGATAATAGAAGTCCTATAGGCCAGGGATATATTGATAGGTCTTGTGATTTCCACCAGTGTTGCTGTTGTCTCAAATTGCCACAGCCTTCATTGCTTGCCAACATTTCCTGCACGGAGGGACGCATGGTTGCCCTTCCCCAGGCCTGAAGAGAGAGTGCGGTCAACATGAGATTGCAAGGCATTCTGGTTTTTGAAAGGTGGAAGATCAGATACTTTACTTTGAAACATGTTTTACAAACTTTCTTGATGTATAAGTGATGTGCCATAGTTTACATCCATTTATGGTGTATAATTTGAAGAGTTTGTCATATAAGCCTGTGAAACCATCATAATCATGATCATGAACATATTCCTGATTCACCTTTTGTTGTTTTACAATCTCTGCGTGCACTTTCCAGGCCTTCAGGAGTCCCGTCATTTACTTTCCCTACAGGAGAATAGTTTGTGTTTTCTAGGATTTTATGTGAATTGAATCATAAAATACTACATTTTTCCTGATGATGCACAATTTTTTTTTTTTTTTTTTTTTTTTGAGATGGAGTCTCACTCCGTCACTAGGCTGGAATGCAGTGGCGCGATCTTGGCTGTCTCCAACCTCTGCCTCCTGGGTTCCAGCGATTCTCCTGCCTCAGCCCCCTGAGAAGCTGGGACTACAGGCATGCGCCACCATGCCCAACTAATTTTTGTATTTTTAGTAGAAATGTGGTTTCACCATGTTGGCCAGGATGGTCTCGATCTTTTGACCTTGTGATCCGCCAACCTTGGCCTCCCAAAGTGCTGGGATTACAGGCATGAGCCACTGTGCCAGCCGATGCACAATTATTTTTAAGACTTACCAGTATTGCTTATGTGAATAGTTCATTTGTATTGCTGAGAAATATTCTGTGGCTATGTCAAAATTTGGATAAACAGCTGGATGCTTTCCAGTTTTGGGCTGTTGCAAATAATGCTACTATGAACATAGGCATATAATTCTTAATATGCAGAAGTGCTTTATTTCTCCTGTGTTAGCAGTACAGTGTATGTGAATGCTTCACTTTTAAAGACACGACCAGACTATAACCTGACTCTACCATCTGCATTCCCATCAATAGTATGTGAAGCTTCCCATTTCTCTACATTCTTGCCATGCTTGGTATGGTTAGTCTTTTTAATTTTAGTTGTTTTAAGCTGTATAATAGCATCTCTCTGTGATTTTATTGCATTTTTCTGGTATTTTATGGTATTGAACACTTGAACATCTTGTGTCAAGTTGCCACCTGTATATCCTCTTTGGAAGAATGTTTATTAATGTCTTTTGCTTATTTTTAAATGGATGTTGGTGATATTTTCTTTTTCATTAATAAATAGACATGTATAACAAAGACATGTTGGAACTTTACTCACTCTTCAGTAATGTGATGCACTTCTTTGCTAAATGATAAAATTGTTTTCAAATACTGGGAAAATACTTTCTCAATTTTTTGGTCTATTCTATTCACAGTGTAACAACCTCAGCTGGGCACAGTGGCTCACGCCTGTAATCCCAGCACTTTGGGAGGCTGAGGCGGGTGGATCACCTGAGGTTGGGAGTTCGAGACCAGCCTGACCAACATGGATAAACCCCGTCTCTACTAAAATTACAAAATTAGCCGGGTGTGGTGGCGCATGCCTGTAATCCCAGCTACTAGGGTGCTGAGGCAGGAGAATCACTTGAACCTGCGAGGTGGACGTTGCAGTGAGCTGAGATTGTGCCATTGCACTCCAGCCTGGGTGACAGACCGAGACTCCATCTCAAAAAACAAAAACAAAAACAAACCAAAAAAAAACCTCAGACACTATATACCTGAAACACTACCTTCATTTACAAATTCTCCTTCACTTTCTTAGGTCTAACCATTCAATGAAACAAATAAGCCCTGGCTTTTAATATTTGCCAATTTCCCTGGTAAAATTCTCCCACCATGGCCAATTATAAGTTGTCAAAATAATGTCATTGAATATGAATTGAGAAGAAGTGGGTAGTGTCACACCATTGTATTCTATTTTCACCATGCCGATACAGTAGCCACAGATAACCCCAAGAACATGTATGTAGGAACATACAGCCTGTGGTGTGGCAAGACTGATGCCCTCTTGAAGTGAAGATGTCATAGTCACCTATGTTCTGAAGCAGTAGCATAGGTATCATCAAAATGCTTCTCTCCCCCCGTGGTCATGAGTCTTGGCAAGAAAGTCTGAAGATGTCAGCAGCTTCACGTTTTACCCTAAAAACTCCAGGCCGGGCGTGTTGGCTCACGCCTGTAATCCCAACACTTTGGGAGGCCAAGGTGGGTGGATCACAAGATCAGGAGATGGAGACCATCCTGGCCTCCATCTCTACTAAATGGTGAAACCCCATCTCTACTAAAAGTACAAAAATTAGCCAGTTGTGGTGGCCCACAGCTACTGTGCCTGTGATCCCAGCTACTCGGGAGGCTGAGTCAGGAGAATCACTTGAACCCAGGAGGTGGAGGTTGCCGTGAGCCAAGATCGTGCTATTGCACTCCAGCCTGGCAACAGACAACAGAGGTGAAACTCCGTCTCAAAAACAAAACAAAACAAAACAAAAAAACCTCCAGCCTTGTTGACCACTATAAAAAGAGTCCTAAAAAGGATGTAAAGGATACTGCTTTCTGGAGGGCGGATACAGGGATCCATTGTCTCACAGCTGCACAAGACATCACTTCTGTTCATGATTCCCTATGAAATGTTTCTGAAAACAATTTCTTTTTTTTTTTTTTTTTTTTGAGACGGAGTCTCGCTCTGTCCCCCAGGCTGGAGTGCAGTAGCCGGATCTCAGCTCACTGCAAGCTCTGCCTCCCGGGTTTACGCCATTCTCCTGCCTCAGCCTCCCAAGTAGCTGGCACTACAGGCGCCCGCCACCTCGCCCGGCTAGTTTTTTTGTATTTTTTAGTAGAGACGGGGTTTCACCGTGTTAGCCAGGATGGTCTAGATCTCCTGATCTCGTGATCCGCCCGTCTCGGCCTCCCAAAGTGCTGGGATTACAGGCTTGAGCCACCGCGCCCGGCTGAAAACAATTTCTTAGCCTCTTTCTCCTTCTTTGGCCTTTCACCTTCGTTGGCCTTTGGAATAGGCCTGCTCACTATAGAACAATGTATATATAAGAGTAAAACAGGCCGGGCGCGGTGGCTCAAGCCTGTAATCCCAGCACTTTGGGAGGCCGAGACGGGCGGATCACGAGGTCAGGAGATCGAGACCATCCTGGCTAACACGGTGAAACCCCGTCTCTACTAAAAAATACAAAAAACTAGCCGGCCGAGGTGGCGGGCGCCTGTAGTCCCAGCTACTCGGGAGGCTGAGGCAGGAGAATGGCGGGAACCCGGGAGGCGGAGCTTGCAGTGAGCTGAGATCCGGCCACAGCACTCCAGCCTGGGCGACAGAGCGAGACTCAGTCTCAAAAAAAAAAAAAAAAAAAAAGAGTAAAACAGTAAAATGATTAGGAAGTGACAACTTTTGAATATTTATTACTTGTGTTTTTACAAGTGGCTTAAGTGAAATCTAGTTGTCTTAAGTTCTGCATATTTAAAGTACACAATTCCTATGTTAATACGTACTTAAACCCCTGAAACTATAAGTTTCCACCTGCCCTTTTTAGTCCATCCCTCTTAACAAGTAATGGGTACAAAAACATATTTTTCCTCTTCTAATGGATATTTTCAAGTATATACACAAATGGAAAAGACTATATTCAGAAGCACTATGAAACCTTCCTAAATCGTCCATATTACTTATCATTTAGTAGCTGTTCTTGTTTCAACTCTTTTCACACATAATTATTTTACTTACAATTCCCACATCTTGTCATTCAATGCTGCATCTCTTCAGAATGCATTTCCAAGCATAAGAGCTCTTTCATAATTCCTATAACTTTATCAATCATTATTTAAGGCATCATAAAATATATCATCAGTGCTCAGTTGCCTCGAATTGTCTCCAAAATTGATTTTTAAGACAAATTCATTGCAATCAGATCCAAAACGAATCTATATGGCTATTAATAGTTTCATCTGGTGAGTCTATAATAATATATAGCTACCACTTTTTATTATTATTCTTGAAGTTGATGAGACATTTGTCCAGAATTTGCCACATTCTGGAATGGTGTGTGTTTTTGTTTTGTTTTGTGTCTCTCTGATGTCATTTAATATGCTGACCCTTTCTCCATATTCCTGTGCACTAGATATTAAGGAAATGGGTAATTGAACTCTGGTCCTGCAGATAGGTGTGCAATAGTAACACACTTACGCAGTGTGTGACTGTGTTGTGTGTATATGTGTGTCTATTCACAGGGTGACATTCACAGACATCTGGAGGCTTAGAGATTATTGAAAAAGGAAAAAAGGAAGAAGCACTTTGTTTCTGCTTCCTCTAAGACATCTGAGAAAGTTTCTCAACTGATTTGAAATGTGAAACAATGCCAAAACAATTACCATAGATCCAGTAATAGTGCTTCTTGGTTTTACTCAAATGAGTTAAACACTTATGTTCACACAAAATCTTGTACATGAATATTTATAGCACCTTTGTTCATAATTGGCAAAATTTGGTAGCAACCAAAATGTCCTTCAGTAAGTGAATAGATAAGTGTGGTACATCTAGAAAATGGTATATTTTTCCACATTAAAATAAATAATAAAAGATGTGGAAGAATCTTAAATACATATTTCTTTTTTTTTTTTTTTTTTTGAGACGGAGTCTTGCTCTGTCACCCAGGCTGGAGTGCAGTAGCCGGATCTCAGCTCACTGCAAGCTCCGCCTCCCGGGTTTACGCCATTCTCCTGCCTCAGCCTCCCGAGTAGCTGGGACTACAGGCGCCCGCCACCTCGCCCGGCTATTTTTTTGTATTTTTTAGTAGAGACGGGGTTTCACCGTGTTAGCCGGGATCGTCTCTCGATCTCCTGACCTTGTGATCCGCCCATCTCGGCCTCCCAAAGTGCTGAGATTACAGGCTTGAGCCACCGCGCCCGGCCTTAAATACGTATTTCTAAGTGAAGGGATCTGATATGGTTTGGCTGTGTCCCTACTCAAATCTCATCTTGAATTGTAACTCCTACATGTCATGGGAGGAACCCAGTGGGAGGTGATTGAATTATAGGGGTGGGTTTTCCCCCCGCTGTTCTCATGACAGTAAATTAGTCTCAGGAGATCTGATGTCTTTAAAAACAGGAGTTTACCTGCACAAGCTTATTCTCTTTGCCTGCTGCCATCCACCTAGGATATGACTTGCTCCTCCTTGCCTTCATTAATTGTGAGGCTTCCCCAGCCATGTGGAACTGTGAGTTCTCCATTAAACCTCTTTCCTTTGTGAATTGCCCAGTCTTGGGTATGTCTTTTTCAGCAGCACAAAAATGGACTATTAAAGGATCCAAACTAAAAGGACTACATACTGTGATTTGAACTATATGACATTCCAGAAAAAGCAAAACTATGGAGACAGTAAAAAGTGAGTGGTTGCCAGGGGCTTGGGCTAAGGGAGGAAGGGATGAACAGGTGGAGCATGGAAGACTTTTAGGGCAGTGAAACTACTCTGTGAAACTACCATGGTGTGTACAAGTCACTATACACTTGTTAAAACCCATATAACGTCCAGCTAGAGTAAATCCTAATGTAAACTATAGATTTGGGATGATAACTATATGCCAATGTACCATAAATTGTAACAAATATACTATTCTAGTGGGGAATGTTTATAGTGGAGAGGCTGTAACATGCATAGGGGCAAGGGATATGTGGAAGCTCTGTAATTTTTTGCTCAATTTTCCTATGAACCAAAACTGCTCTAAAAAATAATCTATTAAAACTTTACCAGCCTGAGCAACATGGTGAGACCCCGTCCCTACAAAAAATCAAAAAATTATCGGGGCATAGTGGTACAGGTGCACACCTGTGTTTCCAGCTACTCTGGAGGCTGACGTGGGAGGATTGCTTGAACCCAGGAATTCAAAGCTACAGTGAGCTCAGATTGTGCCACTGCACTCCAGCCTGGATGACAGAGTGAGACTCTGTCTCAAAAAAAAATTAAAATTAACTAATTTGTAAATCAGTTTAAAATATTTATTTAGCAATGTTTGTGCTGTGTATGTATTTGTATAACCCAAGGAAGATTCATGTTAACAAATTGAATTTGGTAAGCCAGTTATTTCCATGAGCAGCCTAGTTAATTTATCTACTTAAACAACAAAAACAAGTAGATATACAGATTTTTCTGGCACTTTTCAAGCTTACTATTTCCCTATTTTGACTATTAGCCTAAGAAATTGCCATAAGAGCTGTGTGTACCTGTAGCCCCAGCTACTTGGGAGGCTGAGGCGGGAGGATCACT